GGACCCGGAATCGAACCGGCGTCCTCCCGAATGCTAAGCAATGGTCTAGATCTCTAGGCCATGCCGCTCGGTGTGAATTATAGCTAGCAGTGATCGTTTTATACTACTCTTCAAATTACACTGTTTACCGAACGCCCACGGTAACAGTAGTCTAGCCGTGGTCGTTGGTGGATTTTGATTCTAAGATACAGGTATACAGTGTTATTTAATACAGACGAAAACGTTTACAATTTCGAAATTCTTGAGAGGACTATTAGTTCCGGAATCAAAACTGTGTAATCCTTATTTCTTAAATATCGGAAATTTCGAATAAATGCCCCAAAACCACTGACGGCTCGTATAATGTGACCACATTTTCGTTGAGACAAAGTGGACAAATGGGATGAAATGAAAATTACAATTTAGTAATTATTACAACAATATTGTATACATTCATATACTTGTACAAAAATCTACTTATTATTAATTATTGATAACTATAAAAATATTTGAAAAAAATAATAATTTGAACATCATGATTTTTAATCAAATTAATTTTTTTATTTAAAACAAATTGTGATTTTTATTCACGTTCATTTTTTTGCGTTTACTCTGCATGCATCTTATGGTTTTTTTATTTCTTTATATTCACCATAATACTTAATAAATAATAGCTAAAAGCGGGGCATTTTTAAAAATCGGCGGGACGCAGGAGGTTCACCAAAACGAGGGACTGTTCCGCCAAAATCGGGACGTGTGGTCACTTTAGTGTACTTCTTTTGTTTACAGCAATGTGTAGCAAAAGAATCCTTATTTTGGATGATATCGTTAGAAATGGATTGGGTTTGGTTGTTTTACTTACTTTTTTAAAGTATTTATTTATATATACACAATATGTATCTATAAATTAGTTCAATTTATATATTTTTGTTTAGTTGCTGTTTTACCACGAATTCAAAACTCGATCGGGCTACCTTAAAAGATTCGATATCATTGCGACTTTGAGATGTATAATTTTTCATTTAATGAGAATATTTTTATTTTACTTTTTTTTTACTGAACAGGTCTAAAGCGACGGCCCGCGATGGTGGCGGGCGGTTCCTTGGTTGGTTGGTAAATAAGAAACGTTGATTCAGCAAAAGTTACGACCTATTCATGCCAGTAATAAACGTACACTTTGCAAACGGCATGCCGCGATATTTTAACATTTTTAACGTAATGTGACAATCTGAAAAGGTAATTGTTAATTCGCGTTAAAGTATGTCCACTGCAATTTAGTAATTCAGGGTCATTTGTGTTTAATATTCGTTTTTCCGAAAAGTGCATTAGCTTTTAAAAACAAAAGCCCAAGGCCCAAAGTTGCCGTGACCTAAACGTCGGCACAACATGCATACATACATAAAAAAATAAGCGAAATAAATATCTGCTCATCCAATTAGTTAAAACTTTATAACTACCTACTAAGTAATAAGTGTATACGTAATGTATAAGACAGTACATATATGCAGGCAATTCCCAGTTGTAATCGCGTCCTCTCTCAGTTAATCGGAAGGATTTCGAGGATGAGACAAGGCAAAATAGTCACAAAATTAATATTACAACTGTGTCAGTTTTAATGTGTTTCGTATTTTTATAAGAGAAAAAACAAGCTCGTAAAAGATACAAAAATCTCGCTCGGACTTTTATGAATCTTGTTAGGGGCCCTCGGTTCGGTATAAACGATAAATTTGCCGAAATTACTGGAATAATAATGTACGACGTCGAAAAGATGTCTGCCCAACCAGACAATAAATATGTAAAATAATATGGACTAAAAATGATTGGGCCTTCATGACGCTTTCTTTATTTCTTTCTCTCACTTGATCGTTTCGTTCGTTTTGAAATTTATCAGGCGATCATCTCCCTTAGCGGGGGGCAGCCTCGTTGTGCAATCGCTGCTATCCTTTTTTAATTTTCTCAATAAAAGGTACAAATGCACAAACCTATGGAATGCATACAATGATCATATAAGCAATTTTATCATTATAAATATCAGATAAATTTAGTAAGTACCTGTCCGATAAATGTAAAACTGCAAACAACCGATATACATTTTTATTTAAGATACCTCTGCTCTATATGTAAGTGCCACGTTTTTTTAAATGTATCTGTTACCAA